TACAGGTGACATGCATTTTCATTCGAATAGTTTTGCACAAAGACTCATTTTGCCACAGAGGCAAAAGTCAACTATTCATCCATGAGCTGGCTCAGGGGGTCTTTGATTTAGTTCTTGTATTATAAATAACAGCCTCTGTCTAGCGTGAAAACATGCTTGGATATTTGTCCCTGGACATTATCTCATCTGAGAAGCAAACTGTTCTGAGAGAGTAGCGCAAGGAAAACTGTGAATCTATGAGGAACAGATAATACCCAAGGACAAATATCCAAGCCTATATTTGTGCCAAATAGAGATGATTGTAATAATTAATCAACCTTCTACTATTTTTCGCTGCACACACAGTTTTGAAAATTGGGGAATATAACTCAAATATTCCCCGGTTTTACATGTAGCTGAGGCAGATTCAGTGACATGACACATTTAGGCTAATCACACACGGAATAGAACCTTCAGCAATAAATATACATTTTCAATACTTTTGATGCAACATATACTTTTTAAATATACTTTTGATTTCTTGTTATAAGCACTGTACTTGATTGCAAGTTACCTGATATTTGAAACTGGTTTTATATCCTATACCAAGCATAGTCAGACAATAAAAATTGATATCGGAAATCAATTGATGCAATCAATATCAATCCTCGATTGCTATCAATTGATATTGACAATTGATAACAATCAAACTCACAGAAAAATATTTTCTTTCATGATTGCCATCGATTGGCAAAAATCAATAGCAATCGATAATTCCTGTCTTGGAATATTGATTGAAAAAAAAACTCCTGAATAAGCAGCCAGACTATTCAAAGATGGCTTTGTTATTGAGTGAAGTAATAGCTGGAACAATACAAGACATTCATCTTTAGCATGCTACTAGATTATATTTTCCTTTTGGCCTACTCTGAGATCTTTTATTACATTTATTTTCTAATCCAAATAATTGAAATCACTAAACCCTGACTCTTCTATTTATTTTGCTTCATCTAAATGCTGATGCTACAATAAGACTGGATGGTTTCACACTAGCTACTCTGGCCTGAACTTCTTCTGGTGTTGTAAACCAGAAAAGAAAGATGTAGCCTAGCCCAAAATGTTTCTGTTGGTTGTTTCTGTTCTTGTTATTTTGTCTATGATTGTTAAAGATATGCAGGCTATGATTAATTGACTCAATAAAACCATTACAGACAAATTTTGTCAAACATTTTATCAGTGTAACTTGTAAAAGAACAAAAATAATTTCCAATAACAATAGATAATAATCGATACCAATCAATGAATCAATTATTATTGATTATTAGAAAACAGTCCTAAGAATATACGCATACTGATTAGTTAAAAATCGTGTTTCTGTAACTTGATAGAAACACAGAACTAGCATGAGCTGTTGACGTAATGATGGCGCAAGCAAAGAGAATTTACATTTTGATAATCAAAGTTAACAAGTTGTATTCCTTTTTTTTGTTGCGGTGTTTTCTAAAAGAAATAGAAAACATGTTTTCCATGTTTCTATCGAGTTATAGACACACTCGTGAAAGTTTGGGAGAACTCGATAAAGCTGCGGCTTGTGTTCCCACAGCATTCCTCGTTCTCCCAAACTTCCACTCATTTATCTATAACGCGACAGAAACACAGTACATGTGTTCTATTTCTTAACTATCACCAATCACAAACAATCAAACTCACAACTTTTTTTCTTCCTCGATTTTTACCAATTATAATCATAAAAATTACAATTTCCTCGATTGTGATTGGTTTAACAAGTCCTATTTTCCACTAATTCACTTGCCAAGTTGCTATCGGACAGTTTGTTATCAAACAGTTCAATAAGCCAATCACATTCAAAGTTGTAGTTAAATCAACCAATCACATTCAAAGTTGTACTTATGAGCCTGCGTGCATACGCGCACTTTCGTATCTTTGGCGCCTAATTGCCGGTAGGAGGCGCGGTGGCCTTAGAATGTTTACATCTCCTTTGTAGGTATTTTAATGCAAATTTTTCCTTTCTTTCATAACTTGGTTATTCTTCTTTTCTCGGAAATTGTAATTTTTATGATTAATTGGTAATAAGACTTCATTTCCTCCAATTCAGTCTGTAATCATACTCGTGATAAACAAATTGGACTCCCTCTGCGGTCCTCCAATTTTGTTATCACTCATATGATAACCAACCAAATTGGACTCCACTCTGTCCTATTACCATTACTTATGGGCAATTGATATCAATCTTCGATTCATATCGATTGTTATCTATTAAAATCGATTATCAGTTTATGGATTGACTAGGCCTGGCTTATGGCTTAACAATCACCACAACAACCATAAACAGCATACGTTTGAAACAAACCAACTTGGTAATTGCAACAAATCGTCCAAGTTGGGTACGAACCATCTGTGACGGTCCATGGGAACACTAACGAAACGTTCGGTACGTGAGCTTATATAAAAGATGACAAACAAAATGTGTCAGGAATAATTACTGGGACAAGTGGCATTCCAGAAAAAGATAAATTATCAAGTCAAAATGAAAATAACGACGTCAAAAGAAAAATAATTTATACCATTACCATCTTCCACATTGTGGTCTATGCCTGTGCAGTGCCTATCTATAAATTTACAATCTGTAAGCTTATTTTAAATGTATATAAAACACGAAATGATCTTGGTATGTCAATCGAAGCTTACCGGCGGAGCGGACATGTCAGCACCCTGGTCAGTTAACTGTTAACCACGCAAGTTCGTCTTTACAGTTGGTCTTGTTACTGCATTCGTAGACTTAAGAGGAAAATCTAAAAGAAGTCAAACTGGAACAGACGAAACCTCGTTGGGAACTGAAATGACACCGACACAAAAGTCAGACATAGGAGCTAACTGTTGACACGGTCAATTGCGACGCTGTCGTTAAAACAAAAGACCTTTTCGTTCACATAATGTTTATCTACCTTTTATAGCACACTGAAAAACCAGTTTTGTGCCCAGTTGACAAAATGATCACCTTTTCTTGTATCTCGTCGGTGATATGTGATGAACAGCAATCTTAAAGAAATCACAAATGATTTGTGCATATTCCTGAGTGCATTCCAGAATAGTGACGTATCCAACATACCCGAGCCCCATTTGTGAATACTTGACCCACGCGCTTCCGGTTACATCCACACCTTCCTTGGGTACCTCTGCACGTAACCCTACAATACCCTTTACGCTTTTGTGAGTCTGTGAGGATAGGGAGTTACCCACCAACTCGAATATTCTTGTTTTTTTCTGAAATTAATCGCGGGGAATCGCGGGGCTCGTGCGCTTGTCAACTGTCAAGGAAGATACAGGGATACCTTTGGTCAGAACCAAGAGTCCTGATTCCGGTAAGAACTTCATGTACCGTAAGGGAAGGTACGTTTTTTATT